AGCGGCGACATTGGGTGTTAGGGTTCTCAGTGTACCACAGAGCCTTTCTTGGCGTGAGTTTTTAAAGACAAAAACCATACTCTGGCTGGACATACTTCACTTAACAATAGTTAGCCAGAAGTGGAACTGTGGGAGCCAAAAAGCAAAGTTGGCACATTAGGGGCTTTCCTAGAAGTACGAACTTTGACGGGTTATGTCTTCATTTGGCAGATGGTGCTGTCTGTGTGTTGTACGGCCTGATTCCATCGTGGGGTCAGTTGTGCTGGGAGGAAAAGAGTCACGTGGAAGGAGGTAGGACAGACAGCTCCCTGCTGGTCACACAGCCTCTCTTGGCTCAGGGTCCTCGCGGTCCTCGCAGTCACGTTGTGGAGAGTTCCTACAGCCCTTGCATCAACTATTTAGGATCTGCTAGGTATCAGGTATTGCGAGTCTTTCTCTGTCCTTCCAGCCAGCTCCCAAATCATGACACAGAGACTTATTATTATGAAAGCTGGGCTGATAGCTTGGACTTGTTTCTAACCAGCTCTTATAACTTAAACTAACCCATATCTTTTAATCTGTTTTTTTTTTCCCCCGGTTACCTTTACTTTGTAATGCCTATGCTGCTTGCTCTGAGTCTTGGTGTCTCCCCCTTCTTCTTCCCAGCATTCTCTCTGCTCCCCAAATCCTGCCTAGCTATTGGCCGTTCAGTTTTATATTAAACCAATCTCAGTGACACATCTTCCTAGCGTACAAAAAGATTATTTCACAGATTTCAGGTGTGCATTCAACTCTGGACACACAGATGTGATACCCAGATAACCTAAGCCTCGTGAAGTCACAGTCAGGTGTGCGTTCAACACTGGAGACACAGATGTGATACCCAGACAACCTAAGCCTGGTGAAGTTGCACATGAAACCGAAGGCAGAGTGTGCAGGAGCGACACTGTACCCAGGGTGTTGTGGATGCAGAAAAGAGGCAACACCTGGCTTAGCACAGAGCTTAAGACCAGCTTCCCGGAGCTCACTTTAGCTGAGTCCTGAGGAATAAGCAGGAACAAGACAGGTAGGAGTGCGGGTGTGGAAGGATGCTCCAGGCAGACAGAGGCATAGGCAAAAGCCAGGTGGCGGCATGATTTGGGAGGCATCATGGGGTGGGATGAGGGGGTGGTGGTGAGGAAACTCAGCAAAGCTGCCTGGCACTCAGAGGAGCAGCCAAGGGCTAGGGTGAAGGACTGGGCCAGCAGGACAGGATGAAGACAGCCCCAAGGTGTCGTCCCCTAGATTTCCTTTCAGGAAAAGGACAACAGAGACTTTATAATGTCGTGGAGTGTCCACCACATCAGGAAGGACCTTGACCAGGGCATCCCGAATAGCCAGCCCCCTTCTTTGGTGGAAGGATGGGTAAAAGGCTCTATTTCAGGCTGTGGCCTTCTGGTCTCAATTCTCTCTCTTTGTCCACCTATAGGAATGGAATGGTGAGATCCCACTAGCATCTTTTGGCCCTTCTTGGACTCTGGCCAAACTTGAAGTAACTTATAAAATCAAAGCTTGGTTGGGTGATGGTGGCACATGCCTTTAATCCCAGCAACAGAGTTCATCTGCAGAGTAAGTTCCGGGACATTCAGGATCACACAGAGAAATCCTATCTCAAAACAAACAGACAAAAAAACCAAAAAGCAACAAAACAAAACAAACAGGTAGACTGCTTGGGTTTGAGTACAGGCTTCCCAGGCACTTTGCCTGTGTGACCTTGGGTGGGCCTCCTAACCTCTCTGTGGGGATGAGTAACACGATAGGAGGATTAAATGCTAATATGCTCTTTGTATTTCATTTTCTAGAGACATGGCTGGCACGTTGCAAGTGTCTGTTAAGCAGAATTTCTTGGCTGACGAGTTTGTTCAACAGGTAGACATACTTCCTGCCAAGTCTGATGACCTGGGTTCGATCCCCAGGACCCACAAAATGAAGGCAGCACCACCTCAGGCAAGCTGTGCTCTGACCTCTGTGCACGTATGATGGTGCATGCACACACACAGAGACACACACACAGACACGGGCAAGAGATACACACACACACACACACACAGACACACACAGACACGGTCATACACAAACAGTAATTTAAAAAAAATTAAAATTATTTTTACAACTAGAAACGGCAGGATATTATTGGTCATCTGTCAATCTAGACTGTTCGGCCCTGGCTGTCCTGAGCTCACTCTATAGACGAGCTTGGCCTGGAACTCACAGAGATCCACCTGCCTCTGCCTCCCAAGAGTTGTGATTAAAGACTTGTGGGACATCTGGTCCAATCTTTCCATATGGAATACTATAGATTATGAAAAACATTTCATTTCTTTCTTTTTTTCTTATCTTTATTATTATTATTTTTGGTTTTTTTGAGACAGGGTTTCTTTGTGTAGCCTTGACTCTTCCAGAACTCACTCTGTGGACCAGGATGGCCTTGAACTCACAGAGACTCACCTGCCTCTGCCTTCTGAGTGCTGGAATTAAAGGCGAACACCACCACCACCTAGTGAAAAACTTTAAAATTTTTTTTATCATTTTAACAATTGTGTGTGTGTGTGTGTGTGTTTGTGCGCACAGGAGTGCAGCTGACCTCGGAGTGTGGAATCCCCAGGAAGTGGAGTTATAGGCTGTGGTAAGCCAAGCAGCACGGGTACTGGAAACCGAACTCAGGGCCTCTGGAAAAGCAGAAAGTACCAGTGCTCTTAACCACGGAGCCATCTCTAGCTCTGCCCACCAAGTACTCCTAAAAATAAAGCACTCATGGACTTTTTTTTACTCCTTCAACAAGGTCTGTTTAGCCATGACTGGCTTGGAGCTTGCTGCGTAGCCCAGGCTGGCAAGTGACACCACAGCTTGCAGTGCTGGATCACTGTTCACCCCGCACTCTCCGCACTAGGGAGGGCACAGGCAGGAGGATCAGATGGTCAAGGCCACTCTAAGCCACGCTGACTTTGAGGCCAGCCTTATATAATGAGAGCCTGTTTCAAAACAAGATGGAACAAAACATAAAAAAGAAAAAGAAAAGAAAAAAATCCAACCCAAGCTAAAGGATCCTGTTAGAAACTCATCCACGATAGAGGCAGGGGTAAGGCCTGTGTGGAGTGTGGGTGAGGCTGAGCCCTGACTTTGGTATCTCCCTCTCCATCAAAGAAATATACTAAGTTCTCGAGCAGGAACTAGAGAATTTAAAGGTGTAGGTGGCCTTCCAGAGCGAGTTCCCACCCTGGCTTCTTCACCTGGAGTGGGAATGGGGGGGGGGACACGTTCTAAAGCCCCCCTTTTCTGATACATAGTTCAATTGACATCAATATACTACTGGATTTAGTATTGTTCATGCCCGGTGATTTCTCTGTGGAGGTTGAACCGAGGGCTTTGAGCGCACTAGGAAAGCGCTCTACCATGGAACAGTGTCCCCACCTAGGTACCTGGATCTGCGCACTGAGCACACGGAAGTCATTAGAAGGCCCATTTCCTCCAACATGATCTCTACCCTCCGTGACATAGTCTTCTGTGAAGTGGTGTGCTGAGCCATGGCCAAAGGGACCTTGACTTTTTTTTTTTTTTTTTGGTTTAAGGACACCACCTCTAGTGATAACACATGGAGTCCCCAAATTAGGAACCCTGAAATAAAGAACAGCTATTTAAGTAGCAGGTACAAATCTTTGGATGTGTGTCTCAGGATACTGTGACTTCCCAGACACCATCCTGTTGCTGTATGCCTTGGGGATCCGGGGGTTGGCAAAGCAGGTTGGTCAGCTCCCTGGAAGCAGCAATCCTCCTGCCTCATCCTCCTGCCTCAATCTCCCGTATGGCCCACCACATGCCCTGTTGACTCCTTTCCTGATCCCGGAAGAGTGACAGTCGGGAGCAGAGGCCTCAGGAATAAGGAAAGCCTCTCTCCTCAATACGAGGAAGATTTCATAGCCCTGAGAAATAACCCAGAAGCCGAGGGAAGACTCCGGGGAGAAGTGACCACCTCTCAGTCCCAGCCAGCCACAGGATAGCACCCCAGGAGACCGTCAAAGCTCAGCATTGCCCTCCTCACCCCAAAAGGAGTGCCTCAAGGAGAAACAGGGTTACTAATTCCTGCAGGAACAGGCAGGGCAGGGACTGCATTCCCAAGTGTCCTCGTGGTGGGGTGCCGCCTGGTCTGGCTGCCACCTGCCTGGCCCTAGGGGCTTTCTCTCTTGTGAACTTTATCATTTTGTGGATCATTAACTTGGCCGAGCCTTGCGTTAGACCCACAGGAACCATGGCTGGCTGGCTGAGTCTGGAAATCCAGAGTGCTTTCCCAGTGGACAGGAACCCTCGGACTGGGGGGGGGGGGGCCGGGGGGGGGAGGACTTCACTCCTACCATCAGGGACCTGAACTGGCCTTGAATGGAGCCTGCACAGACTTTCAGGCCTCTCACTGGGCCAGCTAGATTACAAAAGCCTGAGTGTCCACAGACCCCATGAGTGGAGTGGGTACATGGGGGAGGGGCAAGGAATGGCTCTCACACATCATAAAGATGAGGGGGGAGGTATTGGTTGCCAACCAGGTATCCACAGCCTTCCACGCTGCAGAACGCCATTGACTGGAGCTGCTTTGCTCTAAGGTCAACTCACTGCTCACCACCTCTCACCTGGACCTCGGTCCTCAGCCCCATGTCTTGCATCGAAGATAGGGTTCGGCTCCTCAGCCCTGACTTTCCTGTCCCCAGCCAGATAAGCTAGGATGCTAGCCAACCCTCCAGGGCCACTCACTTCACAGAAATGCCAGCTGGAGACTTGCTTGGCTCAAAGTCTGAGGCTTCCCAGCCTTTGAAGATAGCGGGGAGCGACAAGGATGGACCTGAGAAGCAAGACCAAGGGTTGCCGACTGACTGAGTGGGGAAGGGATGGTGCAGGATTTTGACTTCTGAAGGACACAGGTTATCCCAGCCCCAGGAGATTTCCAGTTTGGTTCCCTCTATGTTAACGGAGGCGCTGCAGATGGCATTCAGACATAGGACTGGGAAGCAGGTGGGCCCCCCACTTTTATTCTGGGGGCAGGGGACCACGCCAGGCCCCTGCCACCCTCTCAGCACTCCTGCCTAGCCACTACATAGAGTCTAACTTTATTGGCAGCCAGCCTGTGCCGGCGGGCGCTGCCTATGCCTCTGGGTACTGCTTGAGTGTGAGCGAGGCTCCGCTGCTGACCATGACCGCGGGGTACAGAGGCTCGAGGAAGGAGGTGAGGAAGCGGTAGAGGAGGCTCATGCCGCCCGTCACCCCATAGAAGGACAGGCAGCCGGCGCCAAAGTCCAGCGCCACGCCGAGCGTGTGGTGGTAGGAGCCCTGCAGCACCGTCTGCATGTTGTTGTGCCACACCGAAAACTTGAGCGAGTCCCACTCCAGACACCACGAGTAAGGGTTGCGGCCCAGCAGGTAGACGATGTTGCGACGGGGGCGGCTGCCCAGCGGAGGGCAGTGGCGGTATGTGACACCCAGGCACATCCACGAGTTGGACACCTCGGCCTCCCAGTAGTGACAACCCTCCGACAGGCCGGGGCAGCACAGCACCTGGGGCCACTGCTTGAAGCCAGGCAAAGGGCTGTTGGTGGTCGAGGGCTCCAGAAGAATGCCCAAGTTCAACACCGAGTGTGTTTCCTTGAACAAGAAGAGCTCCTCGCTGGCTGTGGCGGGGTCGAAGTTCAGGTTGCAGTAACCTGGCAACGGGAGAAAGCACAGGGAACCAGAGTCACTGTTCCCAGGGCAGGGTGCTAGCAAGGAGCAGGAGTTTGGAAAGAACTCAGTCTGTACCCCAGGGTCCTAGAAGGGGCACCCACTCTCCCTGTTGGTTTATTTCTCATCTATTTTATTCTTGTGCTTTTGAGCTCAGCTTAGTCCAGGCTGACCTTGAACTTGAGGTAGCCATCCTGCCTCAGCCTCTCAAATGTTAGATTACAAGCATGCTCCTTAAAATAGCCCAATTTGGCTGGGCAGTGTTGGCACAGGCCTTTAATGCCAGCTCTTGGGAGACAGAAGCAGATGAATTTCTGAGTTTGAGGTAAGCCTGGTTTACACAGTGAGTTCCAGGTCAGCCAGGGCTACACAGAGAAACCCTGTCTTGAAATCCCCCACAACTTTGCTGGGACACTCTAGTGGGGCTGCACCAGACAGCCTGGAGGTCTAAGATTGGAAGACCATGTGCTATGCTGGACTTTTCTGGAGAGACTGGGAACAGGGTTCCCCCAACACCAGACCCTAATATAATAATCACCTTTCTTATTTGTTCAAAAATGAGACTGGGGGAGGGTCAAAGATGTTCCATATCTGATCCCCGATTTCTCAGAAGCCTTGGGAATTTGGTTCTGGGGCCAAGACCAGGGAGAGGGCTTGTAGGGACATCAAATAAATGGACACTTGGAGTCAGTGGAAGGCATAATGCCTACTCCAGTTGACTTGGCTAACCCCCCAGGGAAGTTGGCAGCCTCCCAGATGAGGGTAGGAGTCACTGACACATAAGGCCCAGAGAATCTCAGAAAGGCTGCCTTTGAGGTAGAAATGGACAGGGTCTCCCTTTCTTCCTATTAAGTCTCTCTGAGATCCCCAGTATTCAGGGAGAGGTCAGGAAAGAGAAAAGAGAGTGCCTTGGAGGGAAGTGAGGCCCCCAGGGGTCCTTCTTCTTTCCCCCTCCCCCTGTGGGCCTCTGCTTTGAGAACTCACACTGGAGTAGTGTTTTCCTGTCCACAGCTGAGGGTAGCACCTCATAGGAGCTCATCTTGATGCCTGGGGAGGAGGGATGGAGAAGCTTTGCTGAGGACCCTCTTACATCCCAGCATCCGTCCAGAGGGAGGCTTGACCAGTCCTGGAGCCAGTGACCTGGGAAGGGTGAACACAGGCAGACAGGGCTCCACAGACACTACCCTGTGGGAAGGTGCACTCCCAAGCCACGGGACTCCAGACTTCGCAGAGACTGACCTTTCAGGAGCAGCTGGTTGACGAAGCTGAGGCCAATGTCCGTCAGCCGGGTGCGGAGCTGGGCCAGGGTCTCTGGCAGCTGAAGGAAGCAATGTGTCTCCTCATAGCTGGTACCCATCAAGGGTTCCACGCAGGCAGAGTAGTGCTTCAGTCTGGGGAACTCCTGTTATGCAGAGAGGGGCAGCTAGTACCCCACTAGCTAGGGCTCAGGCACATGCCAGGGGCGCCTTCACGGGTAAGTGGAGGAAATGTTGCCCATTTTCAACCGTGAGCATCTGCCTCGTCCTGGTTGGTTGGCAGGGTGTCTGTGGCAGTCTTGCTGCCGGAGAAAACGGCTGGAGGGTTGGAGTTGAGCATTTAATTGCTCATTAGGATCATTGTCAAGTCTACCCTGCTGTCCAGAGGGGGTCAAGGAAGGAGTGGTCTTTGAAATCTGTCCAGGGTATGAGGGCAATTTGAGGAAGGAGATCCTTGCTAGGAGGTCCCAGACACAGGGGTTGGTCCCAGTGCATAGAGAAAGTTGCTGCCAACTTTCTGGTCAGACAGCCTGCCTAGAACTTCCCCATCTCTTCCTTCACCTCCTACCCCCACCTTGCAGTAACACCAGAGACCATGGTGGCTAGGGAGGAAAATGGGTTTCAATACATAAGACCGGGCTTGGTCTAGAGGGGGTCTTGCCTGCAGAAACTGCTCGTCACTCCTGTTGGTGAGCAGGCTCTGGAGCCAGAGGCTGTCCCCCTCCAACGACAGGAACCGGTTGTGGCTTTGCTGGATAGAGTTACCCAGCTTTCCCAGGGCAGCTGCCTCCTCTTTCTCCACAAACTCCAAGACCTTTATCTGCAGCTGTTTAATCTCATGAAGGATCTCCGAGAAGCAGTTGTTCACCTCATCTCGCATTGTCTGGATCAGTTTCTGGAGTGGGTGTGTAGGGAGGCATCCCTGAACCCCACTCCTACACCCAGCTCTCCCGGTACAAAGCCACGCCAAGTGTCCCGTCTTTGTTCACTGTTTCCCCTCACCACATTCCCCTGGAGTTTCGGGGAGGTCCCAAGAGCCCAATGGAAGAAGATACTGGGACAGCCTGGGCCTGGCGTGGTGGTAGCCCACCTTACCGAGAGAAAGCTTACTCGTCCGTGGTGCTTCTGGCTGTCAGAGGCGATGATTAGCATCTGGTTCTCCACATTGGCCTGAACCTTCCGAACTTCCACCTGGAACGTGTGGTGGATGGGGCAGAAGAGAGTGAGGGGTGGAGGAAGGTACCCCCACTGCCCCGCCCCCGACTTGAGAGTGGGCCTTGGAGCAACTCAACTGCCAACCCTGAATGAGATGGACCCCTTTTACACATAGGCATCAGTGAGCCTAAGACCAGGGCTGAAGGGCAGATGCCATTTATGCTTCTAGTTTTTGTTCTTCCACTGCCCTAGAGTCTGGTTCTTCATTCATAGGAATCCGTTTCTTTGCTCCTAACAATGATGAACACAGGCTTCAGGACACGGGAAGGTGCTGGGAAGGGTTCAGCGGCTTCAACTAGGTAGGATGTGGTAAGAACCACACAGGGCAGAGCTTATGTGTAGACACCTGGGTATCTACAGCTCCAGTCCTACATAAGCCCACAAGCACCACTGGGACAGGGAGATTAGTGCTTTGGCAAGTTCCCATGTGGGAAACGGTGCTGGCCAGCCTGTAGGCCAGGCAGGGCTTCCGTCTTTTGAGAGGTTCACAGTGAAACGGGTCAGCTGAACTAAATGATGCGCTTAGCGGTGTCATTGGTTCTTCTCTGACGGTAAATTCCTTTTCTTACCAGACTGATGATGGTTGGTTAGGCTATGTCAGGACATTGGGGCTATTGAATGTATCCGATGGCTAGCTAAAATCCAGGGAACTCTCTTCTAAAAACAATGCAAGAATGAGAAACTAGGTACTGAGGAAGTACAGGCGTGGGTAACCTCAGTCTCAGGGAGTTCCAGATCAGACTGGGGTACCAGAGACCCTGCGAGGGGAAGGGACTGGCAGAATAAAGGGGAAAGGAAATTAATTTAAGCTGCAGTTTGTGTGTGTGTGTGTGTGTGTGTGTGTGTGTGTGTGCATACATGTGTTTTTATGTGAGTCTACCTGTGTGTATAGGTGCATATAAATGTTAGTGCATGTATATGTGGAAACCAGAGATTAACATTATTTTCCTCAATCACTTGCTGCTGTATTTTCTTTCTTAAAAAAAAAATAACTGGGAGGCAGAGGTAGCGGGATCTCTTAAGTTTCAGGCCAGCCTAGGCTATATAGTGAGTTCCAGGACAGACAGAGCTGTTATAGAGAGAAACCCTGTCTCAAAAATACCAATATATAGCTACCAATGTAAGTATTGCATGTGTATGGGTGTTTTGCCTGCATGCAGGTAGACGCACTACGGCGCACCTAGTATCAGACCTCCTGGAACCGGAGTTACAGAGGTTTGGTGCTAGGAACTGAACCCAGGTCCTCTGCAAGAGCAGAGTTCTTCTCAACCACTGCACCGCCTCCCAGCTCCTTCTCCCCGTTTCTGTAGCGAGGTCTCTCACCGAGCCTAGAGCTCATCGATTCAGCTAGACTAGCCAGCCAGCAAGCCCCAGTGATGCCCCTGCCTCAGCCTCCCCGGTGCTGGGATTATAAGTGTGCACCACCATGAACTCAGGTTCTCATGTCTATAAAAACAAGCACCTTATTTACTGAGCCGTCTCCCCATTCTGATTTCTTTTGGAGGAGCAGAGTTTATTTTATGTAGCCCAGGCTGACCTTGCACTTGGAGTCTTCTTGCCTAAGCCACTTAAGTGTTAGCACTTCAGGCATGCCCAGCTTTTGTTTTTGTTTTATTATTATTTTTTATGTGTGTGGGTGTTTTTGCCCAGATGTAACGTCTGTGTACCCTGTTGTGCCTGGTGGCTGTGGCTGCAGAAGACGGTATTGGATCCCCTGGAACTAAAGCTGTAAACCACCATGAGGGTATCGGGAACAGAACCCAGGTCTCTTAAGCTCTGAGCCATTCTCTAGATCCCTGAAATGGGGGTCCCACTATGTAGCCCTCGTTGGTTTGAAACTACCTGTGTAGATCAGGCTAGCCACAATAACCCGTTCCCACAGCACCTGCTGAGAAGGCTAATTTCTCAGGAGCGGTACAAGTTGTTAGAGCATCCACTATCTTCTCTTGGGGGCTGCAATGAACACCAGCAGCACATAGGGTCCTAGAAGTGTTGCTTAATAAAGTGGTCACAGGGTTTTCCTCTGCCGAACTCTACACGGGGAAGGGCTAGGGAAGATCGCTTTAAAAACGAAACCAAAGAAAATGTAAAGAGTTAGGAAGCAACTGATGTTTCTTTCTAGTTCTTTCTTTTTAAAACATTTTATCTATGACTCTATGTGTATGGATGTTTTTCCTGCGTGCATTTCTAAGAGGGCTCGGGTCCCCTGGAACTGGAGTTACAAATATGTAACAGACGCGGAGAACCTGGAGCTAACCCCTTCCGCACACGCGGAGCTGCCATGCGGGTGCTAGAAGCCAAAGCCAGGTCCTCCGGAAGAGCAACCAGTGCTCTTAGCTGCCGAGTCATCTTTCCAGCTACCCTTTCCATGGCTTCTTGAAAGCAGCAAGTCACAGGCGTTTCCTGGTTACATCTTCGAGACAGACTGCTCTAAGCAATCTTTCCTACCCTGTCACCATGCATTGTTCTCCGCAGATACAGACTTCTGACATGTAGTTCTGTTCTTCCTCAGTAACCTAACTTAATGCCTTCCTACACTGTAACGTGACCCATCGTGTTAGCAACTGCCTGAGAAAAATGATTATTATTATTATTTTTATTTTTTTTTTTGAGACAGGGTTTCTCTGTAGTTTTTTGGTGCCTGTCCTGGAACTAGCTCTTTGTAGCCCAGGCTGGCCTCGAACTCACAGAGATCCGCCTGCCTCTGGAGAAAAATGATTATTGCGGGAGCCTGTGTGCATGCCAAGGCTAACGTATGGATGCTGGCCCTCATCTTTCTCTTTCCTTCCTTCCTTCCTTCCTTCCTTCCTTCCTTCCTTCCTTCCTTCCTTC